ATAAAGTTGGTGGTCTAGGCCCCTCAGCACGTTCATACCTAGTGTCACGTCCATCCCTCTCCGGGACGAATGATCCACCAGCACGACCCCCTTCTTGCCGACGTCTTGTCCACACAGCTGGACCCGCATCCAGACTATTCCTCGCACGTCCATCTCTCTGTTATTGGCAGCCATCAGCTTGATTACTCTCCCGTCTTCCGGCTCCATCATATGTCCAAAGTGTCTTTCGAAGAACTCCAGAGGCATAAGGGTGCACTCCGACCCTGTATCAACTAGGCAGCGTACCTTCTGGCCTTCCAACTCGGCTTCCATAATGGGGCTGCTGGCATACAGGTCGTGTTCCTCATGCTTAGGGCTTAGCTTCTGGTGTACCGCCGCAGGACGCCCAGCTACTGCAGCGGTCGGAAGTTTAACGTCGGCTCGGACTTCATCTGTTCTGGGCACTCTTTGGCCATGTGGCCGTACTGTCGACAAGCCCAACAGAGGGGTCCCTTTTGAAATGCCCCCCCAGCTGAGTTATCCTGAGTGGAGTGGTGTGAGGTGCTGAGGTCATTTTTCGGAGACCGGGGAGATTCTGCCTTCATCTGGGACACTTCCAGCCGAAGTTTTCTTAATTCTGTCCACAGGACCTGGACCACCTCCTTTAAGGATTCTGAGTCTTCAGATGCAGAATGACCTCTTGTAGCATGGGTACTACTCACTATTCTCGCTGCCACAGGTATGCACTCCTCCTCTCTTTCCACGGCGGCTAAGTAGATGCTGTAGAATGTCATGTTGGGCCCCGTCCAGGTCATCTCTTGCAATTTGTCCTGTAAGAACTTGTTGGAGAGCCCCACTATGAACTGGTCTCGTAGTAGCCGGTCCACCTCCCAGAAAGCTCCCATGGCTTCTGGATCTCACTGCTGTATTTCATTTAGCGTCTCCTGTAGGGCATTGGAGTACTGTATCAGGGTCTCACCCTCTTGCTGTGGTCGGTTGAAGAAGTGGCTCCGCAGCTGCACTACTTTAGCACGCCCCCCTTGGGCTCTCTCCAGCAGGGAGAAGATTTTCTCTAGGGTGTCTCTCTCTCAGATTCGAGCCTTACCATTACTGTCTGTCTGACGCCACCCTCTAGAGCCCCCAATGCAACCTCTGCCTGCAGCTCGGACGTCAGGTTACACATTCTAACCGCACTTCGCACTCTTTCAGTCCAGTCCTGCAACGTCATATTTTTACCATCAAATTTTGGCAGGTGACTCAACAGCGCCCCCACGGGAATGTACCCTACTGGTACGGGCAGGGTGGGGGCAAGCTGTATCAGTGGTGTTGGGGCAACTTGGCCTTGCACCGACGCACTCTGAGCTGGGTCCTGGACCGGTGCCATTGGCGCCAGGGGATCTCCCGCCGCATTCCCGTCCATAACGGTCGCTGTATCCTGCCGACTACACCACGTTGTAAGCTGTGTACCGGGGTGGGCTCCCCAGGATACAGTGAAGTCACGAACGAGGAAAGCAACCCCAACACCAGCTTTTGCCACAACAGAATTTTACTTAGATGTGGCAAATAAACACAACCACAAATGCTGGAAACATACAGTAAATTTACATACACCCAGCCCAAAGGCTGAGACCCTTGTGCTGCACAGCATGGCGCCTTCTGATGGATGAAGGTAGAAAGTGAAGTAATTTACCTACTGGCGGGCACAAAATAAGCTGCCACACCTTACCTGTTATTACCCTAAAAGAGCAGGAATCAGTGTATGGGTGTACGGTATAGGCTAGCCTGCACTGCAGCACAACAGCTTACAATCTTACACAAATCTACACTATTTCCTCTCCCATAACTGGTCCTGTAGCACGTGCCTGAGTATTCCTTCTGAGCAAAACGCCAGTCTGGCTTGAGTTTGTAGGATTTTATCAGCTCTCCAATGTGAAATGTCACTTTAAGTTGTGGAGTCCTTCCAATAATCAGTGGCCTGACACAAACAGAGACCCTAACTAACTAACTATAGGCCTGGACTCAGTCTCAAGGCGCCAACACTGAAATGAGGTGCGTGCACGATCTTACCGACCTGGGTCTGCTTTGCATCCGCTGGTGACTCTGAACAGATCAAATGTCTCTCCAACAAGCTTGCGGTCTCGCTGTATATGTTCCTTAGTTCCTCTGTTCTCATCAGCCTTCCTGGCAGCAATCTCTCATCAGCATTCCTGGCAGCAATCTCATTAGCTTCCTGGCAGCAATCTCATCAGCTTCACTCAGCTGCAGCTCTGGTTACTGAGGGACTCTTTCACACCTGGTTGTCATCAGATTCTCAGCTCACACGGCCTCTTATTCACCATGCTCCAAAACATGGCTTCTCTCTCTCCTTCCTGTTCTCTCCAAGTCTGTGTGCAAAACCCCACCTCTTCATGAATATACAAATATCTATGCAGTCAGAGGCTGTGTTAGAAAAACAGTGACATCTTGTGGCTAAACCGTAGAATGTCAGTCAAAACATTAATTTACTTCCACACAAACAGTGTTCAAACAATGAGAGCTGTTTCCCCATCTCACACAACTGCTGGCCCTGGACACTTTATCTCTGACCAATGTGGCAGAACAAGCCCATCAAGTTACCACAGGCTGGAGAGTCTCATTATGTTCTTTCCCGGATTTCTCAGCTGAGACCCAAAGGAAACGCTGCTCCTTCATGGAAACAAGGAAACTCATGTGGGAGAAAGGCCTTCAGTACAGCCTGCTATACCCTAACAAGCTCCGGGTCCAACACAAAGGAGCTGTGAAGTTCTTTGAATCTCCGCAAGAGGCTAGTGAATGACTTGACACGGTACAGTAGGAATCTGGATTCCTCTTTTTAGATGCTGCTACTACTCAGTGTCTTGCTTTCATACTCTCTCTGCCACTCAGTTGGATGCTGGCTTCCGCTATCTCATTGGGGTTGTTTTCCTGTTCTCATGTTTGGGCTTTAGTTTACACAGTTCTCTTTATTGCCTTGGTGCAATTGCACACCTCCTAAACTTACCTATACATGATATCTTTGTCTTCCCTTTATCCTGAAAGGGAGGCTGTTCCAAGATTATGTATACCTCTTCTCTACTTGACTGTTTGGACTCCCCCCTTGTCCATACTGACCTTCTTTCTCCGCAGGTCATCTTTTCAGCAATCCTTCTAAGTGTTCTCGGACTCCTACCTACCTCATACTGTATCTGGAGGTTTAACTGTTTGATATCTGCATAAGTATGTCAAAATTGTATCATGGAATGTTAGAGGCCTTAATGAGAAGGTTAGAAGGGCCACTGTGTTTCAATTTTTAAAGCCACTCAAGCCACATGTCTTCTTCCTTTAGGAGACCCACCTGGATGGGGGGTAGGATTCTGTCCCTGCACAGGCCTTGGATTCAAAGAGCCTTGCTGTCAGGAATGGACTGGCCAGCAATGGTGGGACTCTCCTGCCTTTTGATCTGCAGTACCAGGGCTGGCCAGCGGATGCTCCCAGCAATCAGAGACTCAACTTTGCAGCCAGCTAACACCTGGAGCTGATTATGCTGGGGTATTTAAGGGATGGCCAGACCCACAGACTCGGCCTTGGTGTTGTGTTTGTCCTGGGCCCTGTATCTTGTTTCTGTCCTGCATCCTGTTTCTGAACCGCTGCTGACTTCCCCTGCTCTGATCCCGGCTCGCTCCTGACCATCTCTCTGCCTGACCCTTTGTACCACGCTGCTTGCTACCTGTTCTGATCCCTGGCTTGTGACCCTGACCATCCCTCTGCCTGACCCTCTGCACTACGCTGCTTGCTACCTGCTGAACCTGGCCTGTGACCCCGACCAATCTCCGCTTGCTCCCCCTGTACCTACCTGCCCTATTGATATTGACCCGGCCTGTCTGACGACGCTTGCTTGTATGTACTGTTATCTGTGGGTGGTTGGTTTGGTTGGTTGCACTGTATTATGTTTTAGTATTGCACTGCGTTTATGTTTGTATTGTTAGTGTTAATAAATTATATTGTTTATAAACATATCTGAGGTCTGCGTTTCCCTGCGTCAGCCACACACCTCTGGTCACACCTGGGAGCCCTGACATTACACCAAGGCCAATCCTGACCAGAAGTGGCTGCACAGGGAAGCCATCTTGGCTTGTTGCTGGGAAGGATGGATCTGGATGAGGTTGTGTATTTATATCTGCTAGTGTTTGATGACAGGGAGTATGCTTATCAAACTCTGAAGGAGTATCCCCGGGATGAACTGCTAGAATGTATACGGCTCGCTCATGTTCTAGTAGATCAGGGCACAGAGTTCTCTGAGGTGCAGCCTTTGATTGAGGTTTGTGCTGAGTTGGTTTCATCTGGTTCCCCCGAATGCAGGGATGAATTTTTGCCACACCATTTAGTGCAGACCAGGTAGAGTCCCTGGTGTGGTTATTAGAGGATGATGTGGGTTACTTTCTGGAGCGTTATTCCACATGTTCACCACAGACACTAAGAGATTGTATAAACGCAGTGCAGTCATTGACCAGACAGGCTTTGTGTAAGCTCAGCTTTGTTCAACCCATACTGCAGACATGGACAGACTTGTTGCACCCAGCCTCAGTCAGCTTACAAAGACCCAGTCCTGCTTCTAACTCTACTCCTGTATTCCCACCAGCTCCTCCAGTTACAGCCCAGTATACTTGGCTATCTACCGCATGTCAGTACCCTGTTCCCACTCGCTGCACCTATCCTGCCTTTAACCCTGTAAAAAAGCCCCCTCTGTAGCAACTGCTCCCTCTCCTGTTCCATCCTCCAGTTTTTCTCTGTCTCCAGCTGCTCCATTCGTTTGCAGACCTGCGTTTACTTGCAGTGCTCCAGTAGTTAAAACCAGAAAAAAGCAAAAATTCTTTCCAACCAATACCATCCTGCCAGTATCCAAACCAGTGAGCCTGCCTTCCGTGGTTCAGCCTGAAGCCTCTCCTCAGCCGGATGCCTCTCCTCAGCCGGATGCCTCTCCTCAGCCGGATGCCTCTCCTCAGCCGGATGCCTCTCCTCAGCCGGATGCCTCTCCTCAGCCTGATGCCTCTCCTCAGCCTGATGCCTCTCCTCAGCCTGATGCCTCTCCTCAGCCTGATGCCTCTCCTCAGCCTGATGCCTCTCCTCAGCCTGATGCCTCTCCTCAGCCTGATGCCTCTCCTCAGCCTGATGCCGCTACTCAGCATGATGAACTGATCCAGCCCGACGATCCTATTAGGCCAGTTGACTCGATGCCCGCTGTTGATCCAGATGATCCGGTACCTGATCCAGTGCCCGCTGTCGTGCCAATTGACTCAGAGCCCGCTGTCATACCTGGTGACCCGGTGCCCACTGCCTTGCCAGATGACGCGGTGCCCGCTGGCAAGCCAAATGACCTGATGCCTGGTGACCCAGTGCCCGCTGTCATACCCTGGTGACCCGATGCCCGCTGTCGAGCCAGACAATCCGATACCTGATGACCCGGTGCCCACTGTCGTGCCTGTTGACTCTGTGCCCACTGTCTTGCCAGACGACTCTGTGCCCGCAGTCTTGCCAGACGACTCTGTGCCCGCAGTCTTGCCAGACGACTCTGTGCCCGCAGTCTTGCCAGACGACTCTGTGCCCGCAGTCTTGCCAGACGACTCTGTGCCCGCAGTCTTGCCAGACGACTCTGTGCCCGCAGTCTTGCCAGACGACTCGGTGCCCACTGTCGTGCCTGGTGACTCGGTGCCCGCCGCTTCGTCTGGGGGCCCGAGACCTGTTGCTCCATCTGGGGGTCCGGCGCCCGCCGCTCCGCCTGAGGGCCCGAGACCTGTAGCTCCGCCTGGGGGTCCGGCGCCCGTCGCCCCGCCTGGGGGTCCGGCGCCCGTCGCCCCGCCTGGGGGTCCGGCGCCCGTCGCCCCGCCTGGGGGTCCGATGCCCGTCGCCCCGCCTGGGGGCCCGAGGCCCGTCACTCCAGCTGGGGGTCCCCGCCCGCCGCTCCGGGGGCCCGAGACCTGTAGCTCCCGCCTGGGGGTCCGCCCGCCGCCCGCCTGGGGGCCCGAGGCCTGTAGCTCCGCCTGGGGGTCCGGCGCCCGCCGCTCCGCCTGGGGGCCCGATGACCTGTAGCTCCGCCTGGGGGTCCGGCGCCCGCCGCTCCGCCTGGGGGCCCGAGACCTGTAGCTCCATCTGGGGGTCCGGCGCCCGCCGCTCCGCCTGGGGGCCCGAGACCTGTAGCTCCATCTGGGGGTCCGGCGCCCGCCGCTCCGCCTGAGGGCCCGAGACCTGTAGCTCCGCCTGGGGGTCCGGCGCCCGCCGCTCCGCCTGGGGGTCCGGCCTGTCCCCCCGCTGGGGGGCCGTCCGCCTGGGGGCCCGAGACCTGTAGCTCCATCGGGGGTCCGTCCCGCCCGCCGCTGGGGGGGGCCCGACCTGTAGCCCCGCTGGGGGTCCGGCGCCCGCCGCTCGCCTGGGGGCCCGAGACCTGTCGCTCCATCTGGGGGCCCGGCGCCCGCCGCTCCCGCCTGGGGGCCCGAGACCTGTAGCTCCGCCTGGGGGTCCGGCGCCCGCCGCTCCGCCTGGGGGCCCGATGCCTGTCGCCCCGCCTGGGGGCCCGATGCCTGTCGCCCCGCCTGGGGGCCCGATGCCTGTCGCCCCGGGGGCCCGGGTCGCTCCATCTGGGGGTCCGGCGCCCGCCGCTCCGCCCGAGGGCCCCGGTGCCCCTGGGGGTCCGGCGCCCGCCGCCCCGCCTGGGGGCCCGAGGCCCGTCGCCCCGCCCGGGGGCCCGGTGCCCGGGGGCCCGGGGGCCCGGTGCCGCTCCGCCCGGTGGCCCGCTGCCTGCCGCTTCGCCTGGTGGCCCGGTGTGCCTCTGCACGGAGTCCAGCCCGGTGTGCCTCTGCCCGGAGTCCAGCCCGGTGTGCCTCTGCCCGGAGTCCAGCCCGGTGTGCCTCTGCCCGGAGTCCAGCCCGGTGTGCCTCTGCCCGGAGTCCAGCCCGGTGTGCCTCTGCCCGGTGTCCAGCCCGATGTGCCTCTGCCCGGTGTCCAGCCCGATGTGCCTCTGCCCGGTGTACCGCTCTTTGATATCCCGCCAGTTACCAGACCCGGGCGGTGGAACATTTTTCCCAGCTAGGACTGTTTGGAGCGTCCTGAGGCCGCTCCTTGAGGGGGGGGGTACTGTCAGGAATGGACTGGCCAGCAATGGTGGGACTCTCCTGCCTTTTGATCTGCAGTACCAGGGCTGGCCAGCGGATGCTCCCAGCAATCAGAGACTCAACTTTGCAGCCAGCTAACACCTGGAGCTGATTATGCTGGGGTATTTAAGGGATGGCCAGACCCACAGACTCGGCCTTGGTGTTGTGTTTGTCCTGGGCCCTGTATCCTGTTTCTGTCCTGCATCCTGTTTCTGAACCGCTGCTGACTGACTTCCCCTGCTCTGATCCCGGCTCGCTCCTGACCATCTCTCTGCCTGACCCTCTGTACCACGCTGCTTGCTACCTGTTCTGATCCCTGGCTTGTGACCCTGACCATCCCTCTGCCTGACCCTCTGCACTACGCTGCTTGCTACCTGCTGAACCTGGCCTGTGACCCCGACCAATCTCCGCTTGCTCCCCCTGTACCTACCTGCCCTATTGATATTGACCCGGCCTGCCTGACGACGCTTGCTTGTATGTACTGTTATCTGTGGGTGGTTGGTTTGGTTTGGTTTGGTTGCACTGTATTATGTTTTAGTATTGCACTGCGTTTATGTTTGTATTTGTTAGTGTAATAAATTATATTGTTTATAACATATCTGAGGTCTGCGTTTCCCTGCGTCAGCCACACACCTCTGGTCACACCTGGGAGCCCTGACACTTGCATGCCACCTAGTCCTCCTTTGCTAGAGGTGTTTCAATCCTTAGAAGTAAACTGGTTCCTTGTACTATCCACCATGTTATCTCTGATAGGGGGGTCGATATGTGGCAGTGGTTCTTGATCTCCTCAACTGTAAACTAGTATTGTCAATGTATATCTACCTCCCCCATTCCACCCCTAATTGGTCTATGATCTGCTGACCAAACCATCTCCCTTTGCCCACTTGCCTCTGGTTCTCGCAGGGGACTACAACCCAATCCTGGATGCTGTCCTAGACACGTCACGTTCTCATAGGCCCAGCTCTACTGAGCTCCACTCCTGGGCAAACTTAACTGAGGTGTGGCGCTGGAAACACCCGTTAGACAGGAACTTGCATCTGTCCAGAACCCCCTGGTCCTCAGCAAGGTTGGTTATGGCTTTTGGCAATTCCACCTTTTTGTTCCTGGTTCATGAGGTTTCTTACTTAGTGGGTGGTTTATCAGACCACACTCCATTGGCCATTGATCTCAAATATTTAGGAGGAGTAGGAGTTGCTAGCTAGAAGTTATCCCCGGATGGCTTAAAAGAGATCAGGTGTCAGAGACCTCAGATCTGGCCGCGATCGCGCATGGGTCTGCGCATTGGCACCTGGGCACCCGTGACGGCAGTGGCGGTCGCACATGCGCACTCACGATCGCGGACGCGCGCCTGGCACCAATCAGGGCGCAGGGCACCCTATTTAAAACAGGACAGGTCTGTGTTCTAATTGTTGTATGGTCTTACCTGAATCCTGTGTTTCCTGTATTGAGATTGCCTTGTTGCCGACCCTGCTTGACCCTGATTTGCTGATTGTCTCCTGTTCTGATCCCTGGCTTGTCTGACCATTCTCCTGTTTAATCCTGCACGTTTTGATCTCCTGTTACCGAACCCGGCTTGTGACCCGTTTATCCTTCTGTCTACTGTTTTGGTACTGTTCTGCCTCCACCGTTACCGACCCGGCCTGCCCGACTCTGCTCTTGCTACCTCCTCACATCAGGCTCTCATCTGCTATACACCTCCGGTGGTGCTTCTACCACAGCTGGGTGAACCCAGGGGTCGCGACCTGGTCTCGGCCTGCTCCAAGTCCATCCCCACCATCGGGGCCCTGGTGAACAAGCAGGTTGGGACTTAGATTCCATGCCTTGGGGGATTCTGGTCTGTGGAACGCTAGAGGCTACCGCCGGCAGGGACATAACATCAGGTCTCTACCCATATAGAATCTGTGATTATGGCTTACTGGTCAACTAATGTGGACTCAGCTTCGCCCCCTGTGGTGTGGGATGCATTCAAAGCAGTGTTAAAGGGTGAATTTATATCAGCCATCAAAAGAGCATGAAAAGATCATAACAGTGGTATTCTTGAGTTGCAGTTGAGAGAGGAGATGTATGGAGGAGCATGCTAAGTCACCATCGGCCCAATCTTACACTGTCTTGCTGGAGGCCAGGCGTCTCCTCTTGGTGTATTTCTCTGATCTTGCTCATATAGAATGTAGATATAAAGGTTGAATCTCTGTTTACTCAAGGAGATAAAAGTGGTAAGCTCCTGGCCCTGCTTGTGGCAGATCAGAGAGTCAATTCCTCCATTTTAACTATCAGGGTGGCTGATGGGGATCTGACCACTGATCCATCGCAGGTCATGGATGAATTTGTGCAATATTTCTCCACCCTGTATTCTCCTGTACCACCATATGATACTGCCTCCCTACGACATCGCCATGCCTCTGTAAATCTACCAACACTTTCAGAGTCAGACAGGGTATCACTGGACGCCAAGATAACCCCCCCTGGAGATTGCGGCTCCTATTGGAACCTTCCCCCTCACAAGGCACTGGGCCCGCATGGCTTCCTGGTAGACCTAAACAAGACTTACCATTAAATATTGGCCGCTAAACTCTGTCCCTTGTTTGAGCACTGCCTAGAAAAGCAAACCCTCCCCTCTTTAATGTTGGAGGCGCCCATGTTCCTTTTGCCTAAACCAGGGAAATATCCCACAGATTGTGCCTCCTATAGGCCAACAGCCCTGCTAAATACTGATTTAGAAACTCTGACCAAAGTCCTAGCTACCAGATTGGCAACAGTTATTCAGTCCATAGTGGACGTTAACCAAACTGGCTACATGCCTGGTAAGTTGACTGACAGTAATCTTTGTAGGGTATTTACTCCTCCAATTTCCCCAGAATGATCAGTCTACTAGGCTTTTGGTATCTATCGAAATAGAGAAGGCATTTGACTCTGTCGACTGGGGATACATGAAAATTGTGTTGGAAATGATGGGCTTTGGACCACATTTCCGCTGATGGGTAAACATTTTATACTACAATCCCTGGGTGGCGATCAGGCTTGGACTTTTGGTTTCCCCCTACTTTCCCATAGGTAGGGGCACAAAGCAAGGCTGTCCTCTTTTGCCTTTTTTTGTTTGCATTAATGATGGAGCCACTAGCTATAGCTTTGAGATCTTCCCTGAAGGTGGAGGCCCTAAGGGTGGGCACCATTAAAGAATGCCTTGCATTGTATGCAGATGACTTGATTCTTTTTTTTGCAGGACCCAGGGCCATCCCTACAGGTGGTGCTGCGTATTCTAAATGATTTTTCCATTCATTCTGGCTTGAGGGTAAACTGGTCCAAATCGTCTATATTATCTTTGGACCTGGATGCTTGGGCGGTAGCTGACCCTACTCTTCCACTGCCATGGGAGTCTCAACTAATTTACCTTGGGGTTCAGATTACAGCGAATGTTGTGGACTATATGAGCCTTAATCTCATTTTCTAAAGAAGAAAGTCCAAGCATGGAAAAATCTCCCCTCGTCTTTAATTGGCAAAATTAACCTCATCAAGATTAGAGAAACCAAATATGATCAAAATGTATAAATACATCAGTGGCTCATATAGTGAACTCAGGGTATATGAACCTCAGGATGCTGAGGTCATCACAGAGAACAAGAGGGGAACTCTTTACATCTCGAGGAAAAGAGATTTAATCTCCAGATAAGGAAAGTTTTCTTCACAGT